AATTGATCCAGGAAAGAACGTACTGATCACGTTCATACCAGATCAAATAAGCCGGGTTCGGACGGCCATCAACAAGCTGAGGTGGAGCTGGTAAGGTGCCGTCGACATGACCCATAAGACGATGACAACGGAGCAGCGGCGTGATCTGCGCATGCCATAATAGATAATTGGTAGGAGTAAGTTTGATGGATAGCTGGGGATTGGCAGGAAGGGCCAGCGTGGTTGCTGGTAAAGAAGAGGAATCAATGGAGGCAGAGGTGGAGGAAACAGAGGAAGGCTCAGTCGCCATTTGGAGAAGAAGAGAGGAAAAACAGTGGAGAAGGAGAAAGAGAAAGAAAAATTCTCGTTAGAGTGTGATGCTCTGATACCATAAACGAGCTCAAGACTTGAGTCTTCTCTTATTGAATGAATGTCTATTTAAAGTACAATGAGTTGCAGGAAAGGAGGAACTGAAAGCAGTAAACAAGGAGCTGTAACAACCCACTAACAGCTAGTCTAACAGCTAACAATCATGGAGATAATTGTGGAACAGAATACACTTCATCACCGCCTTCCCCCTTTCTTTTCTGGTAGTGCAGCAGATGCATGCATGCACCCCATAATTAACTACGTTCTCTTCTAGTTCTAGATCTCTCCCCCATCCAGACGTACGTGTATATATATAAGTGAAGATCTCCATTCTCGCCACCGCGCGAGTTTCATGTCAAGGACATGGGCGTCGTCGAGGAAAGAGTCGTCCAGGTCGGCGTCGATGAGGTAGGTATACACGTAACCTACACAATAAAACACGTTTTAAATGCTCCTTTAGTACTACCGATCGCTTCACAGTTTGGTATTACTCTAGGGAATGGAATTGCTCAAGGCATTCATGCACACAAAGTCCGCTCTAACCACTGTGTTTCTCGGCAACAAGGAGACCGTCGTCAAGAAGGAATCCAACTGAAGGCTCGCTGATATCAAGTGAATTGGAAGAAGAAGATGTCCTGCAGAAGTGAAGAAGAATGAAGAACAGAAGACTCTGCAGGTTTGAACGAAGAAGAAACCTCACCCAGAACGTTTCGTTTCTGGGTTCCCTCCACTCAACTTAAACGAAGAGGCAAAGCGGCGTCGTTGTGGAGTCTCGGGTTTTACCGTTGAGTGGACAATCACTGTGGCGAATGGAGAGAAGACAAGTTTCATTTACTTTACAGTCAATTTGAATTTCTGTTTAACTTTTCTTTCTTTCTGGTTTTGTAACGTGAAGAACACAATACAGACTGATATATAAATCAAATGTAGAGAACGATGATTCTCTTGCGCGTTCCTCATTTCTGTGCCGCATTCTTCTTCCTTCTCTTAACCCTAGCTCAGCTAGTTTGATATGGTATCAGAGCGGTTACTGATCCAGTAACCTTCCATGGCGACTCACAACAATACTCCGCCTGGCACTCCTGGAGGCATTCCTTTCGGCTCCTTTTCTGGAATGAGCTCTGGTGTAGCAGGTGGATCCAACAACAACAACGAGCGCCCAGATCCCCAATTCGGTAACCCCTTCTATATCAACCCCAATGAGAACATTTCTCAAGCTATAGTCTCTGAAGTGCTTGATGGACCCAATTACCAAATGTGGCAGCGAGCCATGAGGATGGCACTCAAAACCAAACACAAAATTGGTTTTATCGATGGGTCCATCGTCTCTCCAGGAATAGGAAACCCTAATTACAGTACTTGGGATGCCTGTAACACTCTTGTATTGTGTTGGATTCTGAATTCTGTGGACAAGGAGATAAGGAGAAGTGTTATGCAACATGATGTTGCTCAGACTCTATGGGAAGAGCTTAAAGCTCGTTTTGGGTATGCTAATGCAATTAAATTGTCTAATCTGGGTGATCAAATTATTGCTTGCAAACAAGGAACTATGAATGTTACCCAATACTATCTGCTTTGAAAGGCCTGTGGGAGGAACATTTACAGTTCAATCCAATTGTGGACTGTAATTGTGCTCCTCAGAGGACTCAACCTTGTGCTGCAGTGGAGGCTTTCAAGCAGAAGCAGGAAACAGATTACCTCATTAGGTTTTTGAAAGGTCTTCGCCCTGAGTTTGATGTAGTTCATACTCAGATTTTGATGATGAAACCATTGCCAACAGTGGAGGTAGCAATCAATGATGTACTGCAGCATGAACAAAAACTGAAGGCAGACAAAGGCATTACCAGGGGTGTCCAAACAGTTGCTTTGGCTGTACCAGGAGACAATTCAGATGAGAAAAAGTTCTGTCGTTATTGCAAGAAAGATGGTCATGTTAAGGATGAATGCTGGAAGCTGAAAAACAAAAAACTCAGGATGGCTGGAGGAGTAGCAGCTGCTGTTTCTCAAGGAGAGCATTCCAATGAGGGAGATTCAACTGGTTCAGAGTCTAAACACAGCTCAGACTCTAGAAGTGTCTCCTCAAAGGATAATCTTCATTTCTCACCTGAAGAGCTCAACAAGCTAAGGTATCTGCTGTAGACAATTCCCTCACCTAGTCCATCACCACCAGCATCACCTTCAGTCAATCACCTGGCTTTCTCTGTTGCTCATAGCATGTCTCAGTTCCCAACTCATGCTGGTAAGTTCATACTCTCATCTTTTATGCAACACAAGTCAGAACATCTTGCTCATACTTGGATCCTGGACACTGGGGCATCTAATCACATTGCTTGCAATATTGCATTGTTTGCTGAAGCTATGGCAGTTAAAGATCAATTTGTCTATTTACCTAATGGGACTAAGGTTGTAGTTAGTCACATAGGAAAGGTTAATCTATCCCCAGACCTTACCTTAGACAATGTTCTCCTTGTGCCAAGCTTTACTTTCAACCTCATCTCAGTTAGCAAACTTACAAATGATCAACCCATCTCACTACATTTTGAATCTGATGCTTGTCAAATTAAGGACCTGGTGACCCAGAAAAGGACTGGTTTGGCAAGACAGAATAGAGGTCTATACCAATTGCATACCAAGGCTCATGCACCTCTTCTTTCTACTCCTCAAGCAGCCTTTACCTACAACTTTCATCCACAAAATTTCCACCTCTGGCACTGGAGACTAGGGCACCCAGGCAAAGACAAAGAGAAACAGACATTACCTTGTAATAGAGATGTAGTTTCCCATTGTCAAATTTGTCATTATGCCAAACATAAAAGGCTTTCTTTCCCTGTAAGCACCAGTAGAGCAGAGGATGCTTTTGGTTTAGTTCATGTTGACATATGGGGGCCACTGGCTGTCAAGTCACATGAAGGTTTTTCCTATTTCCTAACTATTGTGGATGACTTTACAAGGGCTGTTTGGGTTTTCTTAATGAAACACAAGTCTGAAACTGGTCTTTTGTTGCAATCTTTTTGCACTATGGTTGAAAGGCAGTTCTCTAAGTCTGTTAAAGTTATCAGAAGTGATCAGGGTTCTGAGTTTCACATGGCTGAGTTCTATAGTGATAAGGGTATTGAACATCAACAGTCATGTGTGGAGACTCCAGAACAAAATGCCAGGGTTGAAAGGAAGCACCAACACATACTGAATGTAGCAAGAGCTCTTAGATTTCAATCTGGCATTCCTCTTAGGTTCTGGAGTGACTGTGTGTTGCATGCTGTGTATTTGATTAACAGACTTCCTTCCACTGTTCTTGAGAACAAGTCTCCTTATGAGCTTTTGTATGGAAAAGCTCCCAATCTGAATGGTCTTAAGGTCTTTGGATCCCTTTGCTATGCTGCTTCTTTTCATAGGGATAGAACAAAATTTGATTCCAGGGCCAGGCAGTGTATTTTCCTTGGTTTTCCTGCAGGGATTAAAGGGTTCAAACTCTTTGATATCAATTCACACTCTTTCTTTGTTTCCAGAGATGTGATTTTCTATGAATCTATCTTACCTTTCCATTCTACTTCTTCCTCTATTCCTCCTGATGATTCCTTTTCCCCCATGACCACAGAGCCTATACTACCACACTTTCCTTCTACTTCTCAAACTCCTTCTACTTCTCAAACTCCTTCTATTACCAAAAACCTTCCTCACTCTCCACATCCATCTCCACTTCAGCCTGCAAACTCTACCACACCTGCTTCTTCTTCTACTAATTCTCCTCCTTCTTCAACACTGCCTGTTGCTTCTGAGGAGGTTACTCCTGTTGTCAGTTTGCATTCTGCGGGGGAGGATAGTGAGATTGATGTGTTTCCTGAGCAGAATGACACAGATGAGGCTGAATTTTTGAGAAAGTCAAGTAGACCTCACAATGTACCAGTTTGGCATAAAGATTATCATGTTAGCATGGCTGCATCAACTTCTAAACACCACATCAGTCATCAGGTTGGCTATGACCACTTGTCTGCTTCCCAAAGAGCTTTTGCTCTTAGTGTTCTGTCTGTACAAGAGCCCTCATCATATGCTGAGGCTTGTAAGGATCCTAGATGGAACCAAGCCTGTAAAGAGGAAATCTATGCCTTGTATGAAAATCAAACATGGGAATTGGTCAAGCTGCCACCAGGAAAGAAACCTATAGGTGCAAAATGGGTGTTTAAAGTGAAATACAAGTCTGATGGTACAATAGAGAGGTTTAAAGCAAGGCTAGTTGCTAAGGGTTATACCCAAATCTATGGGATTGATTTTCTTGACACCTATTCTCCAGTAGCAAAGATCAATTCAGTCAAAAACTCTGTTAGCAGTGGCTGCCTCCAATGCAGTCAAAATCGCGATTTTACCTAAAAGCGGTGAATGAGTAAAATCGTAAAGCGTAGAATCGAAACGTAAAAGCGTAAGTTTTTAATGCATCATGTAAAATAGCTAAAAATCTATCAAGTACAACATGTCATATATAAAATGTGAGTGTATAAATTTTTGATAAGTGAATAACTACTTGCAATTCAAGTGTACAATGCAATTTTCACACATAAATTAATTTGTGTAATTTCTAAAGTAGAACAACAAACTCATAAGTCACAATATTTTAAATTTAAGTTCATAAACATATATGGTAAGTAACTAAAAAACGAGCTTACTATATTACAGGACTCAGATATGTACAAACAAATCTCTGCAAAATTATAAATTCACGTTTCACTCAACTATGTTCACTCTACCAACAATGAAAAATGAATCAAACTTCTTCTAGGTGGTCCATTCTACAAGGGAAAACAAATGGCGGGGAACAAACCTGAACCATGGTGAACTGGAATATCTCTTCCTCTTCTAGACGATTGCCTCTCACTCATACCCGCTGCATAAACTAGTTATGTTTCAAGTTTTTAGAATCAAATCACTAACATACATACTCTTTCGCAACTTGTCTACCAGATTTCCTTTTAAGAATAGGGAAAATGCGTGAACCATAGTTCTTCCACAGTTCCACTAACAGGCAGCTCAATATCTTTCTCTCTTTATGACCGAGCAATACTCTGTATATCGATTGGTGGAAAATCTGCCAAAACCTTTCAACGAAAAAAAATCATCATGATCATGGATTTATCCTTGAAGAATCAATCAAACAAACATAATAAGGGGGCTCTTAGAAAACACACTAACCTGCCCAAGATCGAAGAAGAGTCAGAAATTAATCGACCTCTCAAAAGGTCCGAATCAAGCGCAAACTATTAACAGATGGGACGGGGGGAAAAAGCAAAGAAGTAACAACATTAAGTTCAAACTTAGGAGAGAAAAGAGTCCTCCAAATGATGTGAAATTGTGGGGCTCTGGAAGTTTACCTTGTACATAACTTCAATTCCATAATCATGGTGAGGTTTCTTATTGTGGTTTAATGCATTTCCTGATCGGAGAAATGGTGAGATCCGTAGGCAAATATGGAAGGAGGTAGAGGACGTGAGGGAGAGGGCCAGTGCAGGCGCCCAGCGGCTATTGAGTTTGAGATGGAAGCCGATTTAGGGTTTCTTTCCCTTCTCTCTCGACAGTAGCTTGAGGGAGCAAACCCCCTTTTCTTTTTTTATCTTTTCAGTTTTCACAAGTAATTTTAAACGGAGCCGTTTTTCCGATAAGTTGGCATTTCTGACACATGCCTGGAATCGTATAAAAACGACCAGAAAACGCGTTTTTACGTTTTTTTAACGTTTTTACCCATTTTACAAACGATTTTGTACGTTTTTGTGTACTATGCGATTTTAGGTAGAAACTGAAGCGTTCTAGAGGTCTACATAGGTAGAAACGTACGATTTTACGCTTTAAAGCGCGATTTTGACTGCATTGGCTGCCTCTAAGGATTGGCACATACACCAGATGGATGTGTCCAATGCCTTTCTTCATGGAGACTTGGAGGAGGAAGTGTATTTGGAAATTCCACCTGGAGTTGATGTTCCTAAGGGTTCAGGGCTTGTTTTTAAGCTTAAGAAATCCCTATATGGCCTGAAGCAGGCAAGCAGACAGTGGTTTGCAAAACTCACCAGTGCATTGTTGAAAAATGGTTATTCACAAACAGTTTTTGACTATTCAATGTTTGTGAGGTGGATTCAGGGAAGAGTGGTTGTGGTTCTTGTCTATGTTGATGACATCCTGATTGCTGGGAGTCATCTGGGGGACATAGAACAATTGAAGAAGTTCTTGAGTAAAGAATTCAAGGTTAAAGACCTTGGTCAACTGAGTTATTTCCTAGGACTGGAAGTGATGAGAGATCACAAAGGGATCAACAGTCAGTCAAAGGAAATATTGTTTGGAATTGCTTGATGACACTGGTTTTGTAGAAGCAAAGGGTTGCTTGTCACCTGTTGACTGCAATGTTAAGCTATCTGCAGAACAAGGAGAATTGATGGCAGATCCTGGTGTCTATAGGAGACTGATAGGAAGACTGCATTACCTGACCATTACAAGGCCTGATGTGGCTTATGCTGTTCAACAGCTGGCTCAATTTCAAGCTGCCCCTTGTGTTGAGCATTTACAAGCAGCACATAGAGTTATTAGATACTTAAAACAAACTCTTGGTCAAGGCTTGATTTTCAGGGCAGATTCAAAACTTGAATTATCTGGCTACTGTGATGCAGACTGGGCAAGATGTCCAGATTCAAGGAGGTCCCTCACTGGCTACTGTACTTTCTTAGGGACTTCATTAATCACCTGGAAGACTAAGAAACATACTACAGTTTCTAGATCCTCCTCTGAAGCTGAGTATAGAGCTTTGGCTCAGGTTGTGTGTGAAGTGCAGTGGCTAAGAAATCTCTTGACTGAAATGGGAGTTAAGGTACCTTTACCAATTCCTCTGTTTTGTGATAACAAATCTGCTATGCATATTGCTGAAAACCCCGTGTTTCATGAAAGGACGAAACACATTGAGATAGATTGCCATGTTACAAGGGAAAGGTTGAAATCTGGTTTGGTTAAACTGTTCCATGTAAGAACTGATGACCAAGTTGCAGATTTGTTTACCAAAGGCATGACTCGTTATAGATTAAAGTTCTTATTGGACAAGCTGGGAGTGTGTAATCCTTACTCGCCAGCTTGTGGGGGAGTATCAAGTGAATTGGAAGAAGAAGATGTCCTACAGAAGTGAAGAAGAATGAAGAACAGAAGACTCTGCAGGTTTGAACGAAGAAGAAACCTCACCCAGAAACGTTTCGTTTCTGGGTTCCCTCCACTCAACTTAAACGAAGAGGCAAAGCGGCGTCGTTGTGGAGTCTCGGGTTTTACCGTTGAGTGGACAATCACTGTGGCGAATGGAGAGAAGACAAGTGTCATTTACTTTACAGTCAATTTGAATTCCTGTTTAACTTTTGTTTCTTTCTGGTTTTGTAACGTGAAGAACACAATACAGACTGATATATAAATCAAATGCAGAGAACGATGATTCTCTTGCGCGTTCCCCATTTCTGTGCCGCATTCTTCTTCCTTCTCTTAACCCTAGCTCAGCTAGTTTGATAGCTGACAAGGAATTTTGAGGATTTCGTTTCTTTTCTTTTTGTTCTTCTTTTGATCGACTTTGAGTTTGAAAATTTTCTCCAGTTGCTAGTTGCTGATTGCTTGATTACGGTTGTTGGCTTTATATAGTGAGCCACTCTTTCCTTCTTTAATTGGTTTCTTCGCTTACTAGTTTGTTTCAGTGTGGAGAACAATTGTTAGTCAGTTTGCTTATTTTCGGGCGGGATACGGTTCACTTCTCCTAATTGAGTTGTGAGATTTACAATTAAGTACATTTTGGGTAGAGGTGGCAATGGGAACGGATCAAGTCAGTAACCCTATAGTCAGTAACCATGAGTAACCCGTCCACATCAGCATGACATCACTATCCCTCTCTCTTCTGAAAAGTTTTTTTTATCTTTTCCCCTTTAATCTTTAACGAACGATTTCTCTCTCGATTTAAGTCGAAATTTAAATTTTTTTGCATAGATAAATCAGATTAAATGTGCTCTTTAAAATGATATCCACTTTGATATATTTTTAGTACAAAAAAATTGAATAATTTTTTACCAGTCATTACCATATGGTATGCTGATCATATTTAACTGAAGGGTTAAAGGTCGTCCTAGAAATTACTAATCGTCGTCCTAACTTAATACGTAAATTACTTAATTACCCTTTTTAAAATTCAAAAACAAACCCTACCCAAACAAACCCTTCAGCAGCAGACCCTCCCCTTCCTCTACCCGCTGCCGACTTCCCCAGCAGCAGAGACCCGCCGCCCCAGCCCCACGCCGGTGAGCCGCCGCCCCAGCCCCACGCCGGCGACCCGCCGCCCCACGTCGCCACGCCGGCGTTCGATACGCCGCCCCCGTCGCCGTCAGCCGCTCCCCCGTCGCCGTCAGTCCGCTCCCCCGTCGCCGTCAGTCCGCACTCCCTCGCCGTCCGCCGCGCCTCCACTCGCCGTCGCCGTCGTCATCAGCCCCTCCTCCAGTCGCCTGCCGTCAGCCGAGACTCCTCCAGTCGCCTGCCGTCGCCGGAGAAGAAGGTAAGTCTGCGTCCCATTCGTATTCATCGACCGAAGCCGCCGTTCGGTTGGCCATCGGTCAAACCGAGGTCAACGTTCGGTTGAGCCATGGTCAAACCGAAGTCAACTTTCGGTTGAGCCATGGTCAAACCGAATGTTGACTTCGATTTGACCATGGCTCAACCGAATGTTGACTTCGATTTGACCATGGCTCAACCGAATGTTGACCTCGGTTTGACCATGGTCAAACCGAATGGTGACTTCGGTTGGACCATGGTCAAACCGAAGTCAATTTTCGGTTGGTTTTATTTTTAGATAATTTTAATGTAATGAATTAATAATAATTGTTATTAAATATTGTAAATTAAGTAATTTTCGGTTGGGTTGATTTTTAATTAATTTTATTGCAATTAATTAATAAAAATTGTTATTAAATATTGTAAATTAAGTAATAATTAGAAATAATTGTAGTTAATGTAATAAAAATTATTAAAAATTATCTGAAATTTGTAAAAAGTATCAAAATTTAGAAATATAATTTGTAATTAATGTTAAAAAAATATTAGAATAATGGAAAAATTAAAAAGTAGTCGAAATTAGACATAAAGACTAAGAAAGTTGTAATTAATGTTAATAAATTATCAAAAAGTTACAAAAAAAATTAGAGAAAATGTTAATGCATTTGATTATCATTAATTGTAATATATTTTTTTTTTGAAGATGTCTGGACATGGAATAGGCAAACCGTACATGAATAAGAAAAGAATGGAAGAAAAAACGGAAGGAAGAATGGAAGGTCGTGCTTGTAGACTTACAGCGACCGGTAGAAAAGAAAATGAAGAAAAAAATCCACGTAAGGTTAAGGGGAAGAAGAAGAAGGCGGAAATAGGGCGTCCCGACGGTCGCCCTACTATGGGACAGTTATCTCTTAGTCGAGGTACTACCTCCACCCCTACTCCTGAGGATGCGACGCCGTGGGAGGCTAATTGGAGTGATTTAGTTTCTATGTTGGCGGTGAGGGACAAGGATCACTATGTGGAGCATGCATCTGAGTACTACGATATTATGAGTGAGGTTCACGAGTTGTATGACCAGTTAGTCGGAAAGACTCCTTAGTGGAGCATGTTATCCTTGTACTTTATTTTTATTTGGAATTGCTAGTTTGTTTATTTTTATTTGGAATTGCTAGTTTGACTTTGCCCGTGAGATGATCTAACTTTTGGAATTTTCAGATGATTGGAGTTTGTTTCTTTTCCATTTCTAAAATAGTAAATCAAGAGTTGCATCAAATACAATAACTACAACTACATCTAACCATCAACCGGCTGGGTTTAATCTATCATAAAATTGGCGTTCTTGTGAGAATAATTGGTCCCAACCATGGACACTAGGATCATGATAAATAGGCCAAAGCCCATTAATCGGAGGCAATGGCACTTGACCAGGCCGAAAGTCAAGACGCACCCAATGACATCCCGTAAAATGTAGTGATACGATCCCACGTGGTCTTGTTACTCCTGGTGGGGCAATCACAGGTAGCACGGTATAACGACCGCCTTGACTATAGACAGCAATTACCCATGAATGCAATGTGGCAAAGACGAAAAGCTCCACATTATCCATCCAGTGGGTAACGCCACAACCACGATCTTGAGTCCACCTGCAACGCCGAAGCCCATTATCTATTCCGTCGGAAATTCCATCGTAGTATGGTCTGTAAAGCTCAGGTCGGGCTTCAAGCTCTTCTACAACGACGCGTCTCATCTGCAACCAATTGTTTTGGGACACGGTAAGTGCTTGTGATATTGCTCGAAATCCGCAATGTCCCTCCGGTTCTAGGTTGAACCAACCACGAATGTATGGTTGCACGTAAGTTTTCAAACAATACAACCACGGGTAACTCCGCCAACCAGTATTGGGAGTCCTGATAACCCTCCAAGGGGCACCATCTGTCCCAAAATACACAACACAATGAAT